ACGAAGAACGAACTCACGTGAGATTCAGTTCCGGTGGAAGTAATTTGATCAGATCTAATTTGATCAGTTTGCGGGATGCGATTTCGTATAGGAAGTGCAAGGGCCCGCGTTCGTGAATCACTTCGACCGTATCTTCATCCATTTCATCGCATACACGATCGTTGGGAAAAGGATAACAGGTGAGGAACAACAAACTGCCCTGAATCAGTTTCAAATCACGCACGGAGCCGGGCACGACAGTCAATACATATGATTGATATGCGTTTAGCTGTAAAGAAACAGAAACACCATAAAGAAAAAAAATAGGAGCCAAAAATGACGAGCAATTATCTCCGTCAATATGAATTCACGGCAGAAGATCTGTTAAATCATCCAAAATGATAGGAAAATATTTCAGCCTCCCACCCCCCCGACCCCGGGTAACTGCACGAGCACACATACAACTTGACACTATCACCACATGTGTGTAACGAACTCAGCGGAGTGCTGCCAAACTCCAAAAATGTTGAAACCTCAACAAAAATGGGTAAAACAGATAAAAGATGCACCATTAGAGAGAGAGGGAAATACGAATAAATCAATGCGGTCAACATGGACAGTACTTTTGTATTATATACTATTGTGTAATAAATGGGCATAGTCTATACCGCTTCTGGTCTTCGTTTTGTGTTGGGTGCTTGCAGTCACTTCCTAATAGAAAAAACCACTCTACACCAACACGGATGTCTTCATCACGTTTGGTGTATGCCTGCTCATCGTCCACCTTTCCGTGCTCTCCTTGCACGTTCTAGGAAAGACTGGAAGAACCGTCGCAGTGGTCAGATCATTACTTCGGGTGGAGATGAGCAGAAGGTAACTTCAGCTCTGGCTTCGGTTGGTGCAGCCTGCCTTACCAGTCGAGGCACCTGGAATATGTATTTTCGTAGGTTAGAGAAGCTGGGAGACGTAGCTCTGAATAGAAGTCAGTGGCGCGAATACCGCACGGTTCGTCTGTTAAAATCTTGCTCCGCATCAAATAAAAAATTAACACTGAAAAATCAACAAGGGTGGGGTGAAACGAAAAATAACACTTTTATTCTTGTCCTTTCGACTCCCCGTTATTATTTGTAGTTCGCACCTTTCTCTGCCGTGTCCCAATCCACCATTTTCTGTTGTTGCGTTGTTAGCATGCATCTTCACAAACCAGTGATATATATATATATATATATATATGTGTATTATATGCATCACTGGTTTGTGAAAAAGCATACTACCAACACAACAGCGATAACAAACATTGCGGAAATCAAAAGCGCTGACTGTCCAATCATGGAAACAAAATTTACCGGTGTCGGGATTGCGTTTTAGTCGACGCTTCAGGAACTTATCGCAGCCAGTAATAAGAAACTAGATTTCATGGCTTTAAGTTTATCAGGCACTAACACCACTAACACCATAAGGACCATCAGAATCCCAAACCGAACGACAGTACCCCAGTGGTTGTGGTTCACGCTTCTCCCCAAAATCGAAATACCAATCGATCGTAAGGCACAAAATAACCCAGGGCTATCAGTTCCAGTTTAAACAACCATTAACCATGCACTTTCATGCGCCGGCTTTGCCTGCTGTTTGACGGTTGCCAATTTCGATAAAGGTGTGGAAGAAAGACTGGAATTTTGAAAGCGATGTCAAGATGAAAATGAAGAATTGAGGGAGGCTTGGTTTTAAGATCGGGAAATGCCAATCCAGCCTCCTATATGCGTGCCAACACTTCATCCGTGATGCGTCCGCCAAGTGAGGTTTAATTGCCCAAATAGCAAAAGCTACTCACTACCTCCGTCACTTCTCCAGTTAGAATGAGGTTGGGAGGTGGACCAACGAAGTCCCCTAGCAATATTTTACACTTGGAAACTGCTAAATGCATGACAAAAACGGTCACTCTAGCACTCAAAAACCATCTAAAAAGCTTGCAACTTAACTGGATCTTCACTTAGCAGTACAATGATGTCTGCATACTCTAGACAGTCTGTCATCTGCAAGGAAATTGATGCTGCTATCCTCACATAAGAACAGAGTTGTTTCCAGAATCAAAGTTGTAACGAAATTAAATAGAAATGAGCACCGCTTTTCGTGGTGAACCTGGGCAAAAACGAGAAATAATATCGAACTCAGCTTCGTTTTTTTGTTAACCATAGAGGTCTAAGATCTTAAAATAGGCCTGGTCCCTGACCACTTTAAACATTTTCGTTTTCTTTGTATGCATTGTGATTTTCGTTGCGAGCAGTGAAGTTTGCTTTATTGTATTCCGCTGTACGATGATGAGGATTCAACTTTTAGCAGAAATAAACTTGTGACACGCCCTTCAAGGAGAGATGGTGCGGGAGTATGGAGAGATCGACTGAACTGAAGGTCATTTTCAAATCCCGGTCTACGAAAGGCTGTTAAACCCACATTATGTAAAAAGAAGCATCATCTCAATTGGATAAAAAGATGGAATACAAGACAGAGGATAGAGGTCGAAAGGACTCACTGCGAGCAACATACACATTGCACAGCGGTGGTGTCTGTCGAATAATTCCATCCATTATGACTGAGGTTCCAGGTTCCAACACCACCCAATTTTCGTGGTAGGCGGTGGCACAATGGTCTAGCTCAAAACCATATGCATTATATTTTTGGCTTACGTCTTTCGCTATGCAGGGCTTAGGTAGCCATTTCCCGTGACCAAATAACACGCTCTCGTAACTGTGGAATTTAACTCTTATTCAGTAAGATACTCATTTTATTCAAAATCACCGCTCAAGTACACCATCTATTTCAAGTACAAAGAATCCATACATAAACCGATTTCTTGAAAGACAATAGATGTGAATAACTTAGGTAAAGAGGGAAAATGACTGAAAATTAGCCAAAGCCTCATCCCATAAACCGTATGCTACGTATAATCCAATTCACAGCACCCATTTTTCCTAATTCCTAGACGCTTCTGATAATGTTTGATTATTATCCTGTTTCAAACCTAACTGATGGCTTAAGTCTCGGTACCGTTTTGGCACAAGTGCGATCACTCTTAAGTGATTAGTGCAAAAATGGATATCTTCAAACCGCTCGGTTTTGACACATTTGGATGAATTATTATTATTATTTTCATTATTATATTATCCATAAGCATGACCAAATACTTAGGCTTGGTCAGAGATCATAAAGGGACAACGTGGAAACTCTTCGGAAAATACTGCCAAACAAACAACTGTAAGTTGCTTGACCCTGGTGGTCGGGATTGCGTTGTGTCAAGGCCGAGCGTTCACTTCTCGACTGGATCACAGTTAGTTCACCAGAAATGAAGGATGAATTCTACAAGGACCTCTCTCAACTAATCCAAAGGGCTCGATCAACGGACATCGTGGTAGTCGCTAGAGACTTCAATGCCCATGTGGGATCCTTGGACGAATTAGGAAGATTACTTGGTGGTTCACGTACAATCCTAGCTAACCGAACTGACAACGGAGAACAACTACTCCAACTTTGCACTGACCATGAACTGTTTCTGTCAAGCACCAACTGATCACACAAGAAACGACACTGCCTTACATAGAGACCGCCAACCTCTTGACATAGCTGGACTCAAATCGACCACATCATTATCAGTCACCCCTAGCGAGGATACATTGAAGACTTCCACTCCTGCGGGTCGATACCCGTGGACACGGACCATGCTCTGCTACGAGCGAGATTATCCCTACATCCTGTAAACAACCGCCGAAAAGCCACCGAGAACGGATGTCCACAATGCAGTGACAGCAATGATTGCAAATCGGCCGTCGAAGCGGAACTACCTGATCCCTTCTCAGGTGGCAGACTGTCTGTCCGATCTCGAGTATGCAGACAACATTGTGCTGCTAAGCGAAGATCCAGGTAAGTTGCAAGCTTTTCTGGATTGTTTTTTTATCACACACCTAAGTGTGATGAACAGCAGACGGGGAAAGCCCCATAGTCATGAGGACCTGCTGTTCGGTGATTTTAACCGGCAACCTAAGCCCCGGGACTTGGAAAGGCGAACCACATAAGCCCCCTATAGGTTAGGCGTCTTATTGAACCGGACCANAAGTTGTCTACCACCAAAGTCGGGTGGCGGTAGAGTGCTAGTATAGCCATGTTCGCTATGCGTTTTGCAGCTTCAAAGTGTTGCTACAAGACTGGGTTGATCCAGTCCCCAACCTCACCCTGACTGGGGAAGTAGTGGAAGATTTAGACAAATTTTTTTATCCGGGCAGCTGTATCTCACCTAGTGACACGTCACTGATGAAGTGTCGGTGCGCATACAGAAGGCTCAGTTGGCATTTGCCAACTTGAGACATTTGTGGCGCCGTCGCGACATCCGGCTGTCTGTGAAGGGTCTAGTGTATGCTGAAGCAGTTCGACCAAATCCGCTCGACGGTGCAAAGACTTGGTCACTAGAGAACCAGGATAGAAATAGATTGTCAGTGTTTGAACACAACTTTCTACGTCGCATTGCACGAGTCTGATGGGGAAACCAGACAAGGAATGCTGAGGTTAGGTGTAGAGTTCTAGGTAATCGCGGTAATTCACTGGAGCAAGTAGTCGATCTCCATAGATAACGCTAGTTATGGCATGTGTTACGCATGTCACGGAGAGCGCTGTTTGCCCAGGCAGGCACCAGATGGAAATAGGTCAAGGGTGGGCAAACCAAGACCTGTCATGAGGGTATGAAAACCCTAGCCAGAACACTGGGTCACATACATGCGGCAAGCTCCCTGGACCCCGAAATCATGGTCATCGATGGTTATAGACACTGAGCGATATGGCTGAGTTTGGAGAACAGTGGCGCTCATGCATATACTTATTATTCTTTCAAACTCAGTCTCTATGAATTCACTATCTTTCCCTTGAATCTGCTCTCAGCATTCCCATCTTTATTCTGCTCTTTTATCCCAATGAGCAGTCAAAAGACAGCAACCAAAACTGGTGCACAAAAGTGCATGGTTAATGGTTGTAAAAGCTAAACCGAAACTGGTGGCTGGCTGATAAATTCCAGGAGAATCACTTTATGGCACTCACCTCACACACCACATGTGCACCTGTGATCAAAGTGTGTAACATAGTGGAAAAACATCCGAGCCGCCATCTTTACCTCGAAGTTCAACTGATGAGATGCATACAATATAAAAACGTGACAGTATCCGTATAAGGCTTAGAACCCCACCCACTACGTCGAAAATATCCGTGTAAGCACCATCCAAGTAGCGTACATGATGAAATAATCAAATGATTCGTTTTATCAATTTGAAGAAGCACCCACCGTACTGTTATACCGACAGTGAACGACAGAACCCCGAGAATCTCCAGAGATCAGTATGTCCGCCGAAGGAGACACGTAAAGTGGAGCAACGACCGGGTTGTGGTGAATTCCCTTGATCACATGCCGGACCATCTAAATAGGAATAATCAAAGGTTGATTCGTGTCACTACACCAATAAATATTTAGCAGAATTATTAGTTGAAATTTCGATGTGGTACGCAGTGAATGAAAAATAGTAACACCATCGGATGCCCAGCAACCTCATTAAAAATTTCATCACGCTTGAGTGATTGCTTGGCTTGAAACAAACTCCAGTCGACTGCGCTGCCCTCTGGCGTTACGTCGGCTTTAATGGTGAGTCACAGGTTTATTGCTCTATTACAATCCCTGTATACGCAAAACTGAACCCGCATACAAACATGCCACATTTGATCAGAGTTTACCATGGAAGACAGTGTTTTTCAGATTGCAACGCTGATATTGTCCCAGGTGACCATTTGTTTTATTTCAAGTACACGGATGAAACTGTATTTCTGATCCAGAAGGGCATTAAGGTTACGATGCATTGACACGCGTTTTGCATCTCCGAAGCGTAAAACGCTGTCAAAGGTCTCAAATGGTCCGGTTACTCATTTCACTCTAACAATGTATTACTTATTGTTCTGTCCCTGGCAACCCATGGGTTGCTTTCACAGTCAAGAGACGGTAAACAAAACCGCTACATGAAAGCGCATGGTCGAGAGCTAGNGAGCTAGAAAAATTGATATATAAATATATATATATATTTATATATATGGGTATGTGCCATTCTGGGGGGACAACTGTACAAGCAATACCGAAGTGAGGCAAGGTGTTATGTAGTTGTGAATACACAATGATATAAGTGCTTTATATGNNNNATATGGGTCCATTGCAATGGTAGGGGCATACTCCACGCACGTCACTAAGTAAGCTTCATCGGCGTTCTTTCAAAAACCTCATTATAATCGAGAGTGGGTGTCTATAGTGGTGTGTAATCACACACACCTTCCTATCTCGCGAAATGCTCCTATATGACGAAGTCTCAAACGGCCACTACTGTGGATGACCTATACACCACCCTCATGTAGCAGTATTTTTCCACCAGGGAGAAAGAACGGTAAGACAACATCCGACGAAGCACTGGCATTCGAATTTGGTGAAAAATCTGGATTCCAAGTCAATCAAGAAGAAGTGACTGAACTGCATTCATAACCTACTGGCTCCCTCGATGGTCATCAATCCTAAAGGGTGTAGAGTTGTGTTGGGAACCTTGGACGAAACGAAATGGACACTTGCCAAATGAAGTGGGTACACCGCTCCATTTTGTTGCTTTTAAGGTCCCACTTCCTAGTGCAAGGACTCGGATGATGATTCAAGTAAGATACCTTCTTAGACATTGTCGCCCAAGATATCTTTTGTTCTTTACTGCGGTTGCCTACCTGAAAAAGAAAAGCCGGCTTCATAATTATTATGGGAGTTTGGTACGAGAGACGTCTCCAGAGAAACTCGATGTTTTCCTTTGAGAACGCACCTCTAGCCCTCCCACACTCTAGTGCGGACCCTATCATTAAAAACCTCAAAGTCAAACTCTGCTGAATTTGCTTAGTCGTTCATGTGCGCAACGTTTTGTCATGCACACTGCCTCTACCGTTCCAATGTTTTAGTACAGAAGAATGATTATATAGTATCTAAATATTCACCTGTCAAACCATTTCTGCGCCTGAGCATTCAGAATGAAATAAAAGGTTTCGATCGGTGAGTTTTCAGTCGGAGGAGCCGAATTCGACAGAGCGTAAACGGTGGTGATTAAAAACATGTGGCTGCCTACGAACAGATCAGCAATGGATATTTTGTGTGTAAGGCTCGTTTTGAGACCCCTCAAGTTAACTTCCTACTGTGTTGACCTTTTTGAATGCGCAATATGCATTCATCTTCTCATAACAGTCAGGTATACAGTTTTAGACCTAAGACTTCAAGATCTGTAATGGTAAATGTTTTCTCATGAAAGACATTGTCCCAGATTTAGTGGATGCTCATCGGTTCTTGGAGTTTATTTAGAAAGCATGGTTATAAAGTCATCAACCATCTCAAGCCATGGAAGTCTCCCGGCGAAAACGGGATACCCACCGAAATCTACGTCATTTTAAACCCTCCCCGAAATTTGGCCCAACTAACTGGATCACATCGATTTTACTACCCTTCCCTAAAAAGAGTGAAGAAGTCTCAAGCCGTTTTATTCCCTTTTTTATTTATTGAGTATACAAATGTACAGTCAACATTCAGGAAGGGGGCCGCGGCCGTACACAGGCTGCCTGGGGAAATACAAAAATAGGGAAGACGGGTGGCGGTGGAGAGATTCGAACCCGTGACTTCGGGGTCACAATTTGGTGACCTAACCACTTGGCCACCACCAGTGTACGAAAATTACAGAAACATCAGTTTACTTGAAGTGGCGGCCAAGGGTTTTGCACAATTTTTGCTGAACCGCTTTGCCGCAACAAGGCACGCGCACTTGTCTTAACCAGAAGGGATTCCGCCCCGGTGTGGGCTGTGTTGACGAAATATTCACTTTACGTCCATTCTTGGAACATCACCATAAGTTTCGACAATCCACAGCAGTCTACGGCATTGGACTACGTAGATCGGGAATCCCTCTGGAACATAGTTGTGGCCGATGGCGTCCCGGTTAAAATTGTCAACTGAATGAGATCGTACTACTCCAACACTAGCGCCCGACTTCGCATTTACGGCGAGGAGTCATGTGCGTTCGAGTTAGGATCTGGTGTGTCACAGGGGTGCAGATTGTCACCAATGATGTTCAACTCTGTCGTTGACTGGATGATGGGTCGTTCAGTGGAAGGATACCAGGGAATTGAGATCTCTCCGAACTTATGGCCCACTGACTTAGAATTCGCTGATGATATTGTGGTCTTTGGCGAGGACATGTCTAACCTCCAAGTAATCCTTGATCGTCGACAGGCTTCCGAGATCGGCCTAGGGGTGAACACATCAAAAACCAAAACCTTTGTGACAGTCCCGATTCGTCTCGAAAATGCTTTACTACTAAACGGCTAATCAATCGAATCCGTCAAAAGCTTTAAGTACTTGGGCTCAACCATACACCCCAACGACTAAGCTAAGGACGAGGGGCAAGTGTACGTCGATGCTGCAAGAAAGTTGTTTTACAGCTGGAGGATTCCGTTTGGCGTAGAAACAAAATCAGCCTCAATACGAAAATCCCAGTTTTCTCCGCAGCAGTCCGTCCAATCTTGCAATACGGCTGTGAAACCTGGCCATTTAGAGTCAAAGGCTGTCGACGATTAGAGACCTACGGTGCTTAAGAATCATTCTGAGAGTACGATGGAGGGATCGGCTCTCAAATGAAACGGTCAGAAATCGGTGTTTCAACCTCATATAGCTGCGGACGCTAATACAACGACGGCGACTGCAATGCTTTGATCACATACTTCGTAATTCCGATAACGACTTGATCCAAGCTGCCTTTGCACCGCCCCTGTACCCCAACTGGCGCTGTCGACACGGTGGGCAGCTAAAACCCTGGACTGACACGATACAGAAATCCTTGGTCTCCGCTCCGTCTGCGGCATTTGCCAATGGAAGTCAAGCTGGATCACATTCTGCGCTGATCTTGCCGCAGACCACCGAGCGTATATATATATATATATTTCACACCTGTCTGAGGACAGACTGTGTGCCAGGCAAATCATGGTACAATAATCTTTGTAAAAAAGAAAAAAGCTCCATGATTGGCCTGTGGGTTAAATACCGCCAGGTTGCCCAGGCCAAGGCAGGTGACTTTCCTTGAGGAATTCACAACCGGAGCCTTCGGCTAGTCAAAGCCTAACCCTCAAGGCAGCGGGGCGGTGTGTGAAAACCTCAGTCCATTGGGAGCCGGTGTCCAGTTCATCAGATCATTTGCCCTTCGGATGGGGTCAAACATCCAAAGTGCACAATACACCTCAATGCCCAATCGAGCCGGTGATTACTGCCACAACCGAAAAGGTATGATTCTTGGTTGGTTTGAAATCAGGGTTTTGGCCAACTCCCCTAAGTGAACTGCCAGTGGTCTACCAACCCGGTTATAGCCCAGGATGTCGGCTTTTGGTCCTCTCACTTTGGTGGGAAGACACCTCTACAAGAAGGCAGTGAGTAGGGCTTCCTCATCAGAGGCTATTCTAGACGCTTGGTCGTATGAAAGCATTTCGCGAGGTGCAAGGGCAGGATGACCAGCGGCAACCCTAGACACCCACCCCCAACCATACTGCCCACCGAGCGTGGGCAGCGACAATTCATGAAGCCGACTATTCCTCTCCTAAGAGCCAACCACCGTAAAGTATGGTATAAAGTCTCACACAACTGAAACCCTGATTAAAACACCGTCGTTACTTAGACCCGCTCAGTGCATTTGAGTTCTAAGAAGAAATTGGATTTACTTAACCAAAACGGACGTCAGTCGTTCGTGGATTTCAATCCCTACTAAGTCGATTTACGCTCGGCTGTTCGATCAGGGGCTAGCGGTGAGGTCAACTGAGTACGTTTTTGTTTTTGAAACAGATACTTGACAAAACTGTAAAAATTAGCTTGACGAACATAAAGATGTAAGAATTGGTATTATAAACCAAGGTCAATACAGTAGTATTTAAATAAAAAACATAATCTCGTATAGAAGCAAACACGTTAAATTTACATATGAAGTGGAGACAAAATCGATGGCTTTAGTAGTCATATCAAGAAAGAGGAAGAACACAAACCCACCTTCGATATGACTAGTCGTTTGAATTGATTGAAAGGAATGCGATATACGAGAATAATCGACTGCCTCGTTACAGAAACACTGGACACATTCTGGCGGTCTTTAGATGAAACGTAATCACATGAGCAAACTATAATCAGGCAGTTGAACTCTCTCATTGTAAGCCAAGTCGGAAATATGCTTCCTTTGGAGCCAAGAAGACCATCGCCTTGGTTTCCTATCTAAACTTCAGTTGTTTATAATTTTCAATGACTAACTCTAAAAGAATGAATCGATCTGTCGAAATTCCTTTCGACTACTGAAACTGTGCCATTACTCCAACCGAAAACAATAAAGT